TCTCGGTAATTTGCGCTGGCATCATTTGCGCTCTTCAAGGCCCAGGTGATGCTCGAGCGCGCTTCGACATGCCTCGAATCAGGCGGACGCCAGCTCTTCCGTGCTCGAAAGCAATGTCTGCGCAGTCGTCGAACGCTACACTCGCACTTCTGGCACCACGGTGCAAGCGACCTCAGCCTGCCCATCTGGTGGGCCGCCTCCTCGATACTCGACCCGTCAAGTGCAGATATTGATGACCGGCCGGCGAAGACAATAGCCTCATCAGCATCGAGACACTCCAATGGCGCGCTACTCGAGTTTCTGTACCCTGAGAAAACTCTTGCTTTACTCAAGCGATTATCCGTATACGGGCCAGAAGTGCCAGAGTCCCGACGGCGACAAATCCAGGGGGCGAGTGTTCGTCAGTATTCCACAGCCCGGGGCCAACCTCGGCATGATGAGGGCAGTGTGGATGCGGTAGTGATAGAGCAGGCGAAAAGGGAAATGGCCATGCTGCTTAAAGAGTCAAATGCAATGGCAGAACTCGAGAAGATTTTGCATCATCGTGAGCCTGGAAAGCAAGAGTTGGCCTGGCAGCTTTATTCTGCAATTCCCGAATCGCGACTTGACGATGGCTTCTACCGACTGCAGGTCGATCTCCTCGAGTACCTTGTGCAGGATGGCGACCCCGCGGTTCCTGGCCGAGTGCTCCAAGTGTTTGGGGAACTTCCACCCTCCAATCGCCAATCGTCGTCATATCGAGCAGCTATCAAGGCCTACATTACGCTCAGAATGGTCGGCCCAGCAATCAACCTGTTGGAAGAGATTCGCATTGATGGACATTGTAACATGCTGCATGTTGGCACAGATATCATCCTGCGTCGTACAATCTTTGATGAGCAGTGGGACCTCAGCCTTCGTGTTTTTAGGACAATTTTACGTCAAACACCCACAATACGCGGCCTCCCTATATCGCTTCAAATACGCCTGGGACATGTTCTGCCGGAGATATGGAAGGAAACTATCCATTTACCGGAATTGCAAGAACATTTGGAGTCCTTTTTCGATCATGTTCGCGAGTTTCAGCATGAGCTCAGGTCCTCTGATGAGCTAGAAGAAGTCTTGTCATGCTTTGTGATGACCTTCGTGCCCCAAGTGATAGATCGCGTCCTCGATACTCGTAAGCCTGACGAAACCTTCATCTGGAACTGGTTCATGAAGCTGTTTGACGATCTCCATTCTCTAAACCTTCCAACCTCCGCATGTTACGAGTATGCCATCAAACGCATGCTGCAGCTTCCGCGATATCAAAGCTACATCAGCCGTCGGAAGATCTGGCTTGCGCTCTATCGAAGGTACCGACAAACATATCTAGAGCTGCCGACTCCTACTGCCGATGCAAGACCGTCGCAGAATTTGATCAGGCAACTGATCTTTTACTTCGGCCGCAACAATGGATTAAAACAAATCAACGAACATGTGCAGGATCTGCGCCACTTCTATCCGGGCCAGTCGTTGAAACCTGGGCTCCTTAAATTTTTGATTCAAACCTTTGCTGATCACGGTGAAGATACACGGGTGCATGAGTTCTTTGGTGAACTTCAGGCAAACTATAAGACTCTAGTGGATCTGAAAGTTCTATCCTCGCTTCCCTTTGTGTACGCCCGGCGCGCAAACGTCGATGAGACGGCTGCGCAATTCAGGAGAATCCACGAAGAGTTCCACATGACTCCAGATACCGCGTGCTGGAACATCTTACTCCTCTCATATGTCCGCGCCGATGATCTTGACGGAGCTCTCGAAAGCTTCAACAATTGTATCGATAGTGGAGTGGTTCCCGATGTTCATACATTCGGACCATTGCTCGACTTGTGTGCTCAGCGAGGTGATGTCGAAGCGTTCGAGGCATTATTCTCGAGAGCAAAAGAATTGGGCATCCGAGTAGATTCAGATGTTCGAGCAAGATCAGGTTATGTGCAGGCCTTTCTCAATGCCGGCGATGCTGGAGGTGCGAATGTCATTGCTCAGGCAATGCTTCGGAGTTGGCAGGCTGGCACCCTTCACGGGCACCCCCTTACCCATACATGGAATCTACTCATACAACACTATGCCCTGAATCGGGATCTTGCAAGTAGTAGGCAATGCTACAAGCAGATGGTGGAAAATAACATTCCCCTCGATTCTTGGACCTATGGCAGTCTGATGCGGGCCCTCGTTGAAGTCAAGCAAACGAACGCAGCATACAAAATCTTGAGGGTGACAATGCCAGAGAATAACCTCCAAGTCCACGGCTTGCACTACGCTATCATTATGGCTGGCTTTCTAAAGGAAGGGCAGATCGATCTAGCTATGAATGCTTATGAACACATGGTCAGACGTCAAGTTCCTCAAACTGAAAGCTCACACCAAGCCTCGATACAGACATTGGGTACTATTGGGCTCGCGGCTTTGAAAAGGCGAAGGGCTAAGCATGCAAACTATCGTTTGATTAAGGTTGAGGAAGCCCTTCAAGACGTCCTTGTGAAAGGAGCAGGCAGTGAAATCGCTCACCGAGGGCCACGCCACGCAAGACAACTTGACACCCGTAACTATGGCGCTGTGCCTCAAGCTTATTACGGCCTTTTGATCTCGCTCTACACCACACGGGGTGCTTTCGCGATCTGCAGGAAGCTCTTCAAGCAAGCAGAAAACGCCGCGCCCAATGCAAACAACTACACTACCTCGATTACCCTCACTACCGCTATCATGGAGGCCCATGCCAAGGCTGAAAGGCACGCTGAGGTAGCAAAATGTTGGCAAGTAGCACGCGCATCGGCCGGCAAACTCACAAAGACGTTTCACCAGGTCTTCCATCCCGAACCTGCTGTTCCAGAATTCGACTCCCTTGTCGACCCCTCGGTTCGCGAGCGTTTTAAAGAATCTCGCATCTCAAACAATCGCAGGCATATTCTCTTCAAAGCCTCGCGTGTCTACATTCGCAGTTTGCTGGCGCAACCGGGCTCTAGCGCTCTACAAGAAGCGCAACGCACAATCCGCGAGCTTCTCGTCAATGGCTTTACTGTGGACAATTTTGTCTGGAATGAATTCGTCCAACGCCTCGCCCAGCGGAATCGTCTCGTCGATGCCTTCACAATTTGCGAAGAGTACATTATGCCGCAATTTCCTGGTTGGCGCGACCTTGTACCCAACTATATCCGACACGATCGTCAGGGCTACCAGTGGATGGAATTACGGCACTTCGACGTCACGAAGTCGAGCGTCTTGCCACGGTACAAGACATTAGTTGTTCTCGCCAAGGCGTATGGCCAGACGAAGAGAGATGAGCGAAACGGTGTTGGGTACGATTTTAGTGTGGGTGCGTGGATGCGGGAGATTCTGGAACAGTCGGCGCCGATGACTATTCGCGCTATTGAGACGATGCCGCGCACAAACGACAAACTACAGGAGAAGTATTTCCATAATGCGTCGTAGGCAGATGTGTCGATGACTTGGATATCTGGCTCTTGGTCTAAATCTGTATGATATATCTGTGTATATGTTTATAGATACGTATAATGATATCCGTTTAGAGTCGAGGCTCGTTTGTTGTGGCATTCATTTAGGATCAACGTAAGTGTAACACAACATCTAACTGGTCAATGACTCTTCTTTGCCGTCCTGTCCGCTATGCTTGTTGTGCTCGAACTAACCTGATGCCGGCACGCACAGTAAACTTATCACACATGAGAGCCACCCCCTTCTGGACAGTCTAAGCAAACACGTCTTGCACACATACATTTCTTCAGCCCTGCCATACTCTTCAAGATTTCTTCCACAGCCCACTGGAGTGAAACGACCGTATGCTGCTTGCCATCCGCTGCTGGTTTGGGCAACGGTGCGATGGCTTTGAGATGGCTAACGGGTTCGTAATCCAAGTATTTTGAAGAACAGCTGCTGACATGGCCTGGATTGAGGAAGTCGAGCTTCAGATAGCGTATTTGAGCGCGACGGTGGGGCAGAATGGTGCAGCTGAAGCCGAAAAAGGCATACACATCAGTGAAATGGAAGGTCGGGGTAAGGTAGAGAAGAGGGACTATCTCTGTGTAGCTAGCAGTCGTTAGCTGGGGCTCTCTTTGCTTCGAAAACGGCTTGCAGGCCACGCAGAAGACGGGAAAGAAATGAACTCACACAGTCCTACACGAGCACAGCAGCCCCATGACCCCTAGGCCCCACTCTACAACATCCTTTTTCCTCAACGCACCAACGCTGCTATATGCTGCGTTCGGACTCCCTTTGTAAGGGAACATGGCATATCCCTTCCTCGACATCCTGAGCTCCTCTTTCTGGCCTAGATCCACTACATACGCCCATATGTAGAGCCTAATCTCGGCAGGTAGTTGCAAAAGCGGACTCTGGGTTTGGTGCTTGGTCTCTTGCTTTGCCCCTAGTCCCATACGACTGCTGAAGGTCGGCGCGTCGTCGAGCGGCAGAGTAAGCCTCCTCTTCCTCGTCCGTACTCTGGGTGGCGTTTGTCGGGCATCGTTCAGCCATTTCCTCACCCGCGCCTCGGCAGGGAGGATGTAAAGGACTGTTGCCAGGGGGAGGCGCAAGATTTTGGTGACGACTTCCTCTACCCGCGACAGGGTGCTGCGGAATGCGGCGGCCATGATAATCCACAGAAAGTGTCCACGAGCCTCTTTCAAACCATGAGGCTCCAAAATTCGATGGGGGTAGCCATCGGTCTTTACGTAAGTACAGAGATTCAGCTACGAGGGCTCGAGGGCGCAGTGTTGCCTGAACTCAGCCGCACCCTTTGCACGTACAATGGCCGAAGTAGCCAGTGGCCATTGCTTTGTGGCTACTGGAACGATGTGCACAGCGAGAACGCTGGGTATCGCAATGCCGCAGTGCCAGAGCCATAGACCGGTGTTCGTCTCCCCCGCAACACCACCAAACCGCAGATCTCACAACGCACCACAAAAACAACCCCTTGCCTCCGCCGCAAAGCAAAAAATAAAAAAGACTCCCTCAAAAGGCAAAAATGACACGAGTGGGGTTCGAACCCACGCACATTTCTGTAGTAGAGATCCAAGCTAGACTTAAATCTACCGCCTTAGACCACTCGGCCATCGTGTCTCGATGGAGAAACTGGACAAAAATATGAGTTGCACTTGCTATATTGGGGGAGATGGTGCGTTTGCCGCAGCAGGGCATCGTGCGGGGGTCTGATGTGCCCCAGAAGTAATACTTGGGATGGGGAGCTGGATTGTGGGCTGTCCGTGGCTGTGCGGGGTAGGCAGAACGCGGGGGTGGTCGTCGTGTCATCGTCTGGCCACGGCCTTTGTGGATATCCTGGGGCTAGATGACGACGGTAAACACGCCCCAAAGACCCAAACGCCGTGAAGGGAGCAGTGACTCTGCAGGTCATCTGTGGAAATCAAAATGAATGACTTTGGAGTGGATGCGATAAACAAACGTGGACGCATCATCGTACCTTCCAACTGCGACAATGTCGACGGCCAGCAATTACTGCGTCTGTATACACTGCACTCTTCCCATTGGAGCTACTGCGTGCCCAATCACCTACTTGACATTCCGCAATGCAGTCGCTCCTGCAAGCAGTCTATCTTACATGGAAGCTTAAAGACTTCGCGTTCTGCCATCAAGTTTATATCAACCCACAAAAGGCAAGTGGATGCACAATCGACCACCATAGTCTCATCGGTAAGGCTCGGCGCGTGCGGTTTAAAACGGCCGTTTCAAATCGCATAGTCATCTTGGGGTTTTTATAGCCGAAACCAGTATACCACCACGGTTGAAAGAGACTTGTGCAGCAAGACGCTTTGCCAGCCTGCAGCGCTATGGAATCATGTTAAGCGCAACGCGCAGGCTGGTACATTCCATGGGACCTCCACCAGGGGTGGCACGGTGATAGGGGCGCTTCGCTGACTGCGCCACGTTGGCGGACACGAACAATCCGATCAACCCAATCGCATCCCACCCTTCGCATTCTCGTAAACATGCGCAGATCGCAGGATGATTATCGCCTGTTGGAGAGTCTGACAGTGTCTGAGCCTCTACATCGCCGCTACATTCTCCAGCACCGCGATTGGTATGTTCGCATAGTATTAGCTTTTGGTTGATGTTGCCTGGCTTGCCTATGCTGGCAGAGAGGTATAATTATCAGCTTCACGACCATACATGAACAAATCCACATTGACCATCAGTAAACTCTCTAGTACACACATAACACCTCGACCCTCAATCTCTCATTCTATACTTACGCCCTCGACCTACGTACCAGAGCCGGCATCAACTCCATCAAATGTCCTCCGTCTTGTCACTTCAGATTGCTCATGCCTTGTTCCCATGGATGCGGTCTCAACCTTCTCCATCTTCACCAAAAGAGCAACGTTGTTCGGACCTGATCCCAAGCATCAAAATTCATCCAGCCGAGGACCGTGAATTCCGGTCCTTATTGATAGAAATGAAGGAGGCTCCTGTGAGGCGTAGAAGGTCTTCATCGTCCTCATCTTCAAACACGTTGGTCTCCAATCGACAAAGCTTAGATAGTTCAGCCGCATTTGCACATGTCGGTTTGGCTATGATGTGCTCACGATGATCTAACCCCACTCCTGAGCGTACGAACAAGTCGCCATTCGAGCCACGAACGATCATGTCACAGAACCAACGTTGAAACTACAAGCTTCAGTCGTCCTGGCTGCGGGCGTCGTACGGGGAGACTGAAGTCGCGGTGGCAGCCAATCATGTACATCTACTACTTTGACTGCGATATCAAGTGCGAAATCGACTAAACGAATTCTCAAAGCCTCATACATTGAGAGGTGTGGATTGACGCAATTGCCTATTCCACGGACATAGTAGAAAAGGATGCAAAAGAAAGGTGAAAAAAGGCCAAAGCGCAGTCGGTGGGAGCCGATGTTAGTTTGTAGATGGAATATGCTTGATTTTGTGCCAAAACATGTAAATACAGTTGGTCGCATGCGCAATACAGCCTAGTCGAATCATGCCTCATTTTTGAATTCCTCCATGGCATTACACCGTTCTTATCTCCGCTCCTCTTCATGTCAGGCACACCATAGCTGAAATGTGATCCACGCCTAACGCATGACCAAATGGGTCTATATCTGTTCGGCGGAATGTAATCTCCATACGCATTGCCTACATATCGCAACTCGGGGCTTGGAGTGATTAACTTAGTGTTGACATGTCGATCATTGTAAGTTAGACTTTTTGCCAAGTTTTACAGTGTCATTGACTTCATTGCAGATGCCTAGCAGACACTTCAACCATATCTGTTCACTTTACTTGAATACCAGATATATTGCTAAGAATACGCCCTTCACGTCGAACACATCACACGTCCCGTACAAATCCCGTAAGCGATTCGGCCATTTCACAACATCCCCTTCGTTGTTTGCCTTCAGCCACAACACTATCAGTATCTAGATTGTGGCATGCAAAGTCACTGCAGGCATTGAAAAGCTTCGAATACAGTTGTATTAGGACGCATTCACCCAAGTTATACACGCAAAACCCCGCAAAGACCCTTTCCAAATGAAGACCTCGTGTTCAAGCCTCTTGTGGAGACCGGGGAGAATGAAGAATTGGAAATGTGTGAGGTTGAAGTTGATTGGGCAGCAAGGGATGAATATTGGCGGGAAATAAAGCAGCATTTAGTCTGGTAAGAATTCCTGCCCAGTCGCAACCTGCAAGATGGTAGTGAGGATTCGCTCGTTAGACTTCTGGCCGACAGCCGCACAGTGATTCATCTAAGGTCCAGAAGGCAAGTCGCACCATTTGAGCCCCCAATTGCGCGCAAAGTGCTTCTGAAGTTCGTTCGCTTCCGCCAGATCAAGGGCGAGTGGTGGTCGAGAGGCACTCTGGGGTGTGTTGTAGTAGAATGGTAAGAGTACTTGCAGATGTATACACACTTAAAATTAAACTGTTTCACTTTTTTACTTCTCCATGGTCAACTGGCTCAGAAGCCCATATTCAAACAGATCAATAAAACGCCAGACCATGCGATTGCGCCGGAACTGAAGCTACACGTTGTACACGCCATTCTCAAGGTCTTCCTCACGCGCATGCCGTCATAACTAAACAATGTCGAATAGTTGCTTCATCTGCATGATGAGCTTCCATTCATCCTGGCTGACATCGCTCCTGAAGAATTCCTTGAGTGTGTCAATACTCTTCCTGCTAATAGCCGAGTACAGTGTATCTTCTTCTTCCAGATGGCGGCCGTACATGGGCTGGTTTGGACCTTCAATCTTGACGGCGACGGAAGGTTGGCCCTTTTTACAGACCTGAATCTGCTTATGGTCGCGTTCGATGGATGTCCTGGAACAAGTCAGATTGGTACAGGGTGGAAATGGGAAAGCAAGGGCCTTACACTCTACCAAGTTGGATGATTTCCTTTACGCCAGTTGCAGGATTCTTCTTGATGGCACATATGGGAGTCGTCATCTTAAGATTACCATCGGTAACATCCACACCTATGATAATCGGATCCTTCTTGTTAAAAACCGCAACGGTTTTCAGTACACACGGGAACACGGCCAACATCTTACTCTCCTCTTTCCTCTGTTCTTCAAGCTGCTTCATATGCGCAGTGAACTTATCGAAGAGATGGTAGATGATATCAGCTTCGAAGATCTTGACGCCGATTTCGTCGGCGTAAGCTTTGGCATCCTTGTCAACCTTCACATCGAAGCACAACATGACGGCAAACTCCTTGGCTTTCTCCAACATAACACCTGCGCGAAGTACATCCTTTTTAAAGACTGGACCGATGGAAATAGTGGATACAGGAATCTTGGAGACGCGAAGGAATTCAAGTAAAGCTTCGAGTGACCCAAGGGTGGATGCCTGGACCGACACACCACGCCCGCTCTTGGATACCTTGCTGAGCAAATGTGCAAGGTCGCCCATGACTTCGTCCATTAGGTCCTCCTCATCATCATTTGGGCCGACGACGAGTAGTCGCGAACCGGCGATGGCTTGGTCGAGACCGTCAGCAGCGATTTTGATACCCATGGCGGCCTTGACCTCCTTATTATGTACGTATTGAGACTTGACACGGAGTTCCTTCATCTCAGCGGGCGTTAAGAGGGCTCGGATGTTGGTTACTATGGGTTCTGGGTTACCACACAAGACGATGCGATCACCTTCGTGGAGAACACCATTGGAAAGAACCACATCGATCGTCGTGCCGAGCCCCTCAATTACCTTGACTTCAAGAACGGTACATTCCACCTCGGAGAGGTACATGAGGTTATTGGTGAGACGCTCTTGCGTGAGCTTGACGATGAGCTTAATCATATCTGGGATACCTTCTCCAGTATGCGCCGATGTGGGACACACCGAGACGTACTTGGACATGTTTTTGTTCTTGAAGAAGAGCTCAGAATTGAATCCTTGCTCTTGCAGTTGAGTTCGCACAAAGGTCCATCGCTCTTCGAACTCTGCCTGAACTGCCTGCTTCTGGAGCCTAAAGCTGTCCTCGAAGCCGTTGTTATCAATCTTCTTCCAACCAAAGAGACGATCAATTTTGTTGAGAGCGACGATAAAAGGCGTTTTCCTATCTCGCAATAACTTCATAGACTCAATTGTTTGAGGTTCGAGGCCGTGCATGATATCGATGACGAGGATGGCGATATTACAGAGTGATGAACCCCGAGACCGAAGGTTTGTGAAAGACTCGTGACCAGGCGTATCGATGATCAGTAGACCGGGAACGTTGAACACAAAATCGTTGTCTTTGTTGACAACAGCAACCTTTTTCTCAAGTGCTGCCACAGGGAAATAAGTGGCGCCAATTTGTTGCGTGATACCGCCAGCCTCGCCTTCTTGGACATTGGTCTGTCGGATCTTGTCGAGAAGCTTCGTTTTTCCAGTATCAACGTGACCCAGAATGCAGCAAATAGGTGACCTTAGATTGTCCTTGGATCGCGCCGCCAAGGCCTCTTCATGTGCCTGTTTTCTTCGCTCAGCAGCAGCAGCTTTCCGGGCCGCTTCGGCTCTCTGTGTAGCAGTGCCCTGCTCATCTTCTTCAGAGTCGTCATCAGAGTCTTCTTCAGAATCTGAAGCTGAGTCTGAGCCCTCTTCATCGG